TATATACCTGCAAACCTGAGTGGATGAGAAAGTGTATTTTAAATTTTTTCTTACCCGTAATGAACTTTTGTACAGGAAAAAGTGTTTAATACTGGAATATTTTTTTGCCATTTCACATTGTATGTCATGTTGACCATTTCTAATTCAGATATCCTTGATGGGTGTCAGAAAAGTAAAATTTTAAAATATAAAACATACATGAGGATCAGATTTGAAGTCTAGTTCAATTTGTTGCTCGTCATTCTCCCATAGATTATAGATAATTATTCTTGTCCCTTGGTCATTAATTTTCTTGAACTTGAATAGTAGAGACACATAACTTAAGATTATTGATCTAGAGTACCTACTTGGCTATGAATAGATCCTTCATTTTGATAAGGACTCCATTTAGTGATTACGTCCATACGAATTTTCCAATCTTGATGTGTACATTTATGGATCTCTTTTAACTCAAGCCCATTTCCTTCATAATCCAGCTGCAAATATGAACAATGTGATGTATACACATCTAAGAGAATTTGGAATTATAATATCTTGCTGCACTGTATCACGGAGAAAGCTATAAGAGAGTAATCCCACACTTTGAATAAATCTGTACACAATGTTAAATAAAGTGGCGAAAAATATGGCAGTCAACTCTTATACCTGTCACCTACTGCAGTGTTTGATTTTGAAAATACAATGACATTTGCACCAAGGCGCATTGTACTTGTCTTGAAACCATTTCCATCTGGTAGTATAAATAATATTAAAAAATGTAAAAAAAAAGATGGCACTTACATTGTCCAATTGTTCTACTGGTTGTGTCATTTACAGAATACCCAAAGGACATACATTGTCGCAAATGATCAAGAGTCATTCCACCACCATTGTCTAAATTAACAAATACAATGTTACTTGCATAAAGAAAGAAAAAAGGAAAAAAAAAATGTCTTACAAACCTTCAAACAGAAGCATTGGCGTGCCATTAACTGGATTCTTGAGAACATCTATGTTGGCAAATGTCACTCCATTTGTTGTCTGGTCGAGTGCATTATCAAGCAGCTTTGCTATTGCTGCAAAAAGTGTAAGATCATGCATTGGAAAGAAAAGAGGAACAGTGATATGCCTATTTGAATTACCACCAAAAGCCCACTTGTGGCTTCTTGCGTTAGAATGAAGGAATTTGGGATGCATTCGTACGTGGTCCATTCCAGCTACAAAACCACGTAATGAGTTACTTCCTTAAAAGGCAGTCATAATGAGCAAGGACCTGGCATTGTTTGTGCATTAGAACCATCGTAATTTCCTGCTTTCCAAAACTGGGAACATTGTCTTGGCTGCTGTGTACAAACAACTGTTTTATCATTCTGTGCGGCATCCCCCTGAATTGGGAAAAACTCAAGAAAGTCGGCAGGCATGCACTCAATTTTAGGTTTCTTGTACTGGTTGCCGGCAACACCAGCTCTTTTCTTTCCAAAATTGGTGGACTTGTTTAGAATCAGACAGGGATTGATGCCTCTGGCAGTGAGCTCTTCGTCCCCTCCCATCCTTATGTGGGCCTTCAAGCACTCAATGATACAGTTTGAGAATGCAAAAGTTACAGAG